GGCTGCTGCACAGAACTCCCCCAGGGAACAGGGATGGATGGAGCCCGTGCTGATCCCCTGGGTGAATGTTCCTGCGTGTGGCTGGGAAGTGCCACCTCTCTGGGGACAAGTGAGCGTCCTGAAGGTTGTCCTGCACCTTTCCAGCCTGCGGTGGCTCAGCTCCATGGAGAGAAGCTAAAGAATTTTGGTCTCATCATTATCCAAACAGCATCTCCGGGGCCGGGATTGAATTTGGCAGCAGGCAGGCTGCAAATCTGCTCACCAGATTTCTGGGAAGCTTGGGAGAGGCAGATGAAGCAGAAAGGTCCTTTCCAAGAGCTCCCTCGCTGTGCTGACCCCCAGCAGCTCCCTGGCACGCCAAGCCCCCCCCAATTATCTCCCTTTGTCCCCTCTGACAAGGAGTTTCCTGGAAAACCAAAATCGTGTGATGAGGTTGTGAAGTGCAGCTGCTCGCTCTGCACAGCCACAGATTTTGTCATCAGTTGTGCCTTGTTTTCACTTAAAAAACCAGAGATTTGGGGCATTTAGAAGGCTCCTCCTAGAGGAGAAGCACATGGAACTGGTCTCACCACAGCCCTGTTCCTGGGAATGGTGGGAACAGCGGAATTGCCAACAGCCCTTTCCAAGCAGGTGCTGCCTTCAGAGATCCCAAATCAGCACCCTCACCCCCCTCTGAGGGATTTGAGCTCAGAGCAGGAACATTGAGGCTGTCTGGGTGCTGCATCATTCCCTGGATTTAAGGTACCTGGGCTGGGTTTGGAGGTGAAGGGGGTGAGTGCCCCATGAAGGGGGTTTTCCTCAGCACGGGGGGCTCCTCTCTCCCCAGATTAAAAAATTTACTGAATATTGTGTATTAGGAACTTGGGTTTGGTGTCCCCAAAATATCAGGCTTTGTCTGAAGGTAAAAGGGGGGCAAAGGGCACATGGGAGCTGTTCCCATCCCATTGGAACCAGCCAAAACTGGCAGCTGGAGCTGGTGACCTTCCAGCTGGAAAATTATCCAGCCCTGCATTATTTCAGGTACTCCAGCCCAAAATCTTCTTCTTGACATGAGACCCTCCTGAAAACATGGATGGGCTGTGGATGGACTCCAGGAGCTCCCAAATCCAGGCATTCCTGGCTCTGGGCACACAGGTGGCACGGGAAGGGACAATGGTTGCTTGCAAGGCTGATGCTGTTTACAAGGCCACGTTGTCAGTGCAAGTCCTGCTGCTCGTTTTTCCCTTTATAAAATACTGTGGAGTTCATGGAAATCTGGGATTGCTTTCCAGGAGGATATCTGGGCTGAGATTTGGGAAGTTAGGAACCAAATCGCTCTTTTTGCTTTTTTTTTTTTTCTTTTTCCCTTTTAAACGGAGCTCAGCTTCAACAAGGAGCCCAAATCTTTCTAAGGAATGGAGAATTCCAGCACAGCCAAAGGCTTTTGCTGGCCCTGAAAGGCAAGGCTGGGAACTGCAAGGGGAAGGAAACCCAAGGAGATTAATCACCATGGCACATTGGCTGGTTTATTCCCAGGATGGATTCTGAAGGTATCTTTTTCCTTTGGATAAACTCTGGGAGGGCAGGAAGATGGGATATCCAGGTCCATGCATGCTGCCAGCTTCAGGGAATCCACTCTGGCTCATCACTGTGTATCCCAGCTTAGAGATGTCATGGATAAATGGATAAAAATGAGAGTTTGGTGTAGGCTTTTGAGGTACTGTGGGATCCATCCCCACAGGGAAAGTTTTGGAGTGAGGCTGCTCCCCACTGGGGAAAATGGAGAAGAAATGCCAAGTCCTGGAGGTGCTTTGCTGCTCCCACCAGTTTTCCTTTGCTCTTGGCCAACCCACACAGCTTTCCTGATTTTTTTTTTTAATTAAATAATAATATTTAAGAAATCCCAAACAGAAACCTCTGGCTGGGAAGCTGTGGCTGTAATTGCTGGTGCTTAAAGGCTGTAGGAAAATATTGATGGAAAGGGCTGTGCCTTCCCAAGTGCAACCCCACAAAAGTGGAAAATCCCTGTGGTTCTCTGTGCTCTCCCTTTTTCCAGCCAGCCTGAAAGGTGATGACAGAGCTCTGGAAAGGAGTGTTATCCACAGGGTATGCAGTGATGGAAGCTCCTCTTAGATGACAGTGATCCTAAATCCCAGTGGGAATAACCCTTAGTCCCTGTTTCCTGGTGTTTCACCAAAAAGCTTGGACTCTCAGACTCTGGCTATGGATGCTGGTGAGTTAAATGAGTTTCCAGCCTCCCACTCCATCCCTTCCCTGGGCATTGTCCACATCCCACACAGCCCAGCAAACCTGGAGCGTTGGCAAACCCCTCAATCCTGGAATGGTTTGGGTTGGAAGGGGCCTTAAAGCCCACCCAGTTCCACTTCCCTGCTGGGAAGGGACACCTGCCACCAGATCAAGGTCCCTCGGCAACCTTGGAGCTTGGAAAGCCCCACTGGGTATAAAAAAGTGACCTCCAGGTAATTTCAACCCTGAAAAGTCATGAAGAGGGAAAAGATGCTCCATTCTGCATAGGAGGATATTTTAAAATGTTTTTTAAAAACCCTCTGGAAGCAGAGGGGCAGGACACCCTTCTGGAATCCAGGGAGCCACCCCGAAATATTTTTTTTCCCTGTGGCCTGTCAAGGCTAAGTGGTTTTTGTTGGCAGTGGGAGGAAGATGAAGGGAGGTTTCACTCTGCTCGTGAGAGCCAGTTCATGCTGAGATTTGTGATGGGCAGGAAAACTCATAGATCCATTCCTCCTCCCAAAAACCAGGAGTTCTGGGAAGGTGTGAGAGGGCTTGGCCCAAACCCCCAGGCCACATGCAGAGTTGAGTGGGGCCCAAACTTGGCCAAATATTGAGTTGCTAAAAGTTCCAGCAGGATTTTTCTCTAGGAATTGAGCTGCTTTTTAAGAAAAGGTTTTTCAAACCATCCCCATTTCCTGCTCTCCCACCTAGGCACAGCCCCCTGTCCCTGCTTATCCCACTGCATCCCGGGGTTTCCCTAATCCTGCCTTGGGGGCCCCTCTGCCATTCCATGGATGTGATTTAATCTTTTGCCATGTGACAGAGCTTTGCCTTCAGCTGCTGCAGCCAAACAACCTCATCAGCTGCCCCCCTCCCAGCCTGCTTTGTGCTGGGAAACAGGGAATTGCCAATCCTTGGGCAGCTTTTGGCTGCTGCTGCCATGTCCCTTGCTCTCCCTTGGACAGAGCATTTAACCTTCCCAGTGTACCAGGATCCCAGACCATCCCAAAGATCCCTTTTTTCCTCCCCTCTGCCCTGTTTCTGCAGGTTTTGCAGCCGAACCGAGCTCTCCCTAGGGCACATGGATCTGTAAAGCCTCACAAGTAATTCCACTGGCTCCAGTGGTGCCCTGGCCGAGCAGCTCTGAATCACCACAGGGTTTATTCACTTCTCCTTGCTCCCCCTTTCCAGGTCATGGGGAGTGTTGTGCCTCTCAAGTGCCTCTAACACCCCTGGTGGAAGGAACCCTCCTCCTTCCTTACTTTTTAAAAACATTTTCCCTTTATTTTACATAGATTTGGGGTCCCATGAGTCCGTCACCTACAGCTTTGCTATAACCTCTCCTGACTCCATTCCCAGAGGATCCCCAGCCCATTTGAGATGGACATCACAGTCTCCTGGCTCATATATCCTTGTTCATCCTTTCTCCTTATCCTGGATCCACCTCCTCTCCCACTCTGGGGTCCCTCCTTGTCCTGATGCAATCCACCATTTTTCCCTCCATCCAGCACTGGATATTGCCCCACCTGCAATGAAAAATTAATCTTGGAGAGGAAAGGCCACATCCAAGGGCTTATTTGGGCCACAGAAGAGAATCTTCCTGGTGAATTTGGCTGTCCTGGGACTCTTCTTGAAGTCTGGGGTGAGCAGAGCTTTGGCCTTGGGATTGCTGGGGTTTTGCCTGGATGCAGGATGGGAAAACACTTTGAAATCCCAAGTTTTTTATATCTTGGCAGCCAAAATGTTGTAATATCACTTGGAAAATCCAGGTATTCCCTGATCACCTGTAGATACGGTGAGATGACTGTGAATGGGGACTGAAGCATGGAAAAGTTGATGGAAATCTCAGATTTCCAGAGTTTTTGCATTGGTAGGATTGCAAGTGTCCTGAGAAGTATCTCCCCTGTGGTTTTGGGTGCAGGCAGCACCCTTAGCTACAGCCCTGGAATGAATACAAGGGAGGGTCCAGTGGCTCATGTGAAGTAGGAACAGGGATAAAATCCCCCAAAACTGGATAATAAGAGCAACAAAAGCCAAAGCAGGAGAATGGGGAGGCTCAGCACTCCCAGGGGCTTCCCGTATGGATTTACAGGTGTGGAGCAAAGACTCAACCAGAGCCTTTGAAAAAAACAAAACAAAACAAAAAACCCAACTCCCCCCCCAAAAAAACCTAACCTTTAATATTACTCCCCTAGAGGTGAAAACCTTTAAAAATGCATATTTTCAATGTCCTGCCCCTGCTGGGGATGCAGCCACCTGTGGCTACGTGTGGGCTGCAGGGGAGCGAGCGGGAGGGACAGAGGGAGCAAGGGAGGGAGCTTGGCTTAGGTAACCTCCTGGGTTAGTCTGGATCAAGTTCCTTCAGCTCCACGGGTCTCAGATGCGGCCAGGAGGGAAAACTGTCCTGGGAAAGAGGAGGAAAACCTGCTCGTGGTGGGAAAAACATAGAGGAAGCTTCGGGGGCTGTGACAACACCTCCAAACCTATTTTCAGGTAAGGGGTGAGGGATGTGTAGGGGTGGCTGTGCTGTGCCAGGGAGGTGGCACCATTCCCAACTTGCCATCAGGCAGTGGGATGGGGCCTGGGATACAGGGACAAGCCAGTGCCACGCCATGAAGCTGTCCCCACAGGTGACTCCTCACCTGGAGGAACAGTAGGTGCCCGCTCCCCTGGGCTCAGCCAGCGCCCAGACCCTGCTCACGGGCGGTTTTGCTCTGTGCATCATCCAAATGCTTTTCCAGGGAAGAGTGAAAGGAGATGGAAAGAGGATGTTGCATCCCCTCCTTTCTCGACCCACCCTGGGATGTTTTCCTGCACCCCTGGCTATTTGCTGCTGCTTCCAAAACCAGCAGGGAAGTGATGCCAAAGCCCACGGAGCAGCGGAGGCTGGAGCGCGGCCCTGATTCCCACTGTCCGTGGCCCCATCTCCCTCCTGGGCTCTGGGCCACGTGTGACACCTCCTCCTCCTCCTCGCTGTCACTGGGTGCTGCTGGCTGTGCTAAGGGGCTGAGCCCCCGGGTTTGGGGGCTGAGCCACAGTCACCGAGCCCAGCAGTGGGATTTGCTGGGGAGGAGGCTGTGGAAGGGACTCCCCTTACCTTGGGATCAGCACAGAGAGAACCAAGTTGCAGCTTTCCCCCTTTTAAAAGATTTTAAAATTTTATTTCATTATATATACATTATATTCATTAGGTCTTTGTGCATGCTTTTGGAGCTATCCCAGAGGATCTTTTGGAGCCATCCCAGAAGATCTTTTGGAGCTATCCCAGAGGGTTTTCTTTCCTGTGCTGCTGCAGGAGGGCAGAGCAGCAGAGCCGCGGCATCCCTGCGATCGCACCATGCCCCTCTCCCGCCACACCGGCCAAATCCCGGAGTCCACCTGGACCTTGGGCTTCAGGGAGATGACGGAGCCCTGGAAAGGCGCCGTGGGCTGCCTCGGCGTGGCCGTCTTCTTCGCCATGACCATCGGCATCATCTCGTGGCAGGCTGTGGAGCAGCCCCCGGAGGAGTGGGTGCTGCGGGGCCGGGCTGCGGGGATGCTGTGGGAGCGCGGCCGCGGGGCGCTGCTGCTGCGGGCGCTGCCGGCCGGCCGGCCCGTGCTGGCCATCGCCGTGGGCAGCGTGCCGGCCGCCGAGCCCCCGCCGCCCCGGGACCGCTGCTGGCACGACGGAGGCCAGTTCTGCTATTCCTGGGAGGAGGACGCCGAGCTCCGGCTGTCCCTAGAGCCGCCGGCAGCCCCCGGAACCGAGTGCTACGGCGTCCGCTGGACCCCGCTGCGCCCCGACGTGACCCTGAAGGTAACGGGGACCCCTCCCACCGCCTCCCAGCCCTTTGGGATCCATCCTGACCATGGCCCCCCAGCTCAGTTATGGGGTGGCCGTGGTTTCCCACCTTCCGCAGCTGGAAGGTGCTGGCTGGGGAAGAACCTTTGGAAGCATCGCGCCCTGAAGCTGAGCCCCAAAATCCTGTGGCGGTGCCACGCTGGTGACCCCGGGGTGGGAGAGTTGTATTTACTCTGTCTCCATATAAACACCTACTGGAGATGACAATGCTGGCGAGAGCCTCTTCCAACACAGACACAATGGGCAGCTCCCGCGGGATGGGAATAATCCGTGTCCGCTGCTGCAAACATTTTTGGTATCATTCCCTGTTTTCTCCCTCAGTTAAATAAAAGCAGACTCTGGGAAGGAGCCTTAGCAGGGGAAGGAGAAACGCTGTCAGAGCAGGGTGTCCACTTGTGGGGAGCCCTCAGAACAAGGAGGGAAGAGGGATGGAATTCTCTGGGATGGAGGATCGTTCCCCTTTAGCCATAAATCACCTGCTGGCACCATTTTGGGTGGGTGGAAGGTGTTGCCTGAGCACAAACCCTTGGTCTCTTCCACTGACATTGTGTGAGGCATTTGAGAGGATGAGTGAGACAGAATAGACTTTCCCCCACTTTTTTTTAAAAAAAACCCAAACCATTGGAAAATATGATCCAGTGAAATCTGAGTTCAGAACAGACTGTTTTCCCTCTTTCCCAGCTGGTGTAATGAGTTCAGCTGACACCTGGTACAGCTATCCTGAGCCTCCAGGGTTTCCACTTTAATAATTTACATCTCCTCTCCCCACCCCTTGGAGAGACTTAACCTCTCTGTGCCCCCAAGCTCAGGACTCCAGGAGGCTCCAAAGCCATGGGATTGGGAATAAACGTGGGGTAGGTTGAGTGGGGAAGGCTCTGGGTCCCCTCTGCCACTCCAGGCCCCCTTCACGGCCCCAGATCTCTGGGCTTTCGGGGAAGCCCATCCTGCCTGGGAAGTCACGAGGACGCTAAGTCCTGCTGATCCCTCGATTTGGCAGAAAGGGGAAAGTTTGAGGAGCTCTGAAGTGAAAACTGATGATTTCTGGCAGGAGGCGGGTCAAAAATGGGGATGTTCCCCATCCCAGGGCCCTGTCAGGCCTATGAGAAGTGCCCAAATCCCCAAACTGAGTCTCTTGAGGGAATTTTTTGTCATCAGCCCTGGGGAAAGAGGGAAGCTGTGCCTTGGGAGGGAGGATGTGTCACCCTCAGGACGCTGGTGCCATCAAGGTGAGGGCTCAAGATGGGGCTAAAAACTCTCTGTGAGAGCTCAGGTGGGGACAGCTGCACATGCAGATTCACTCCAGAAAATCTGGAAAAGGCTGGTGGGGAGCTTAATGTGTTTTTAAAGCAAAAGAGAGGGGGGAAAAAACAGAGAAAAAAACCCACTGAATGAAAAATAACAACCAAATAAAAACCTGACCAAACCAAAAAGGAAACCTGACCAAACCAAAAAAACTCCAAACCAACCAATAAACCAAAATGCATAGATTTTCCAGCTGGGTTTCTGAAAGTGCCCTCAGTGCATTTTAAAGCTGTTTCCTTGAATTTCCCCCTCTGTTGTCCTGTCCCACAGCCACTCACACCTGCAGAGTCTCTTCGCTCTCGCCTTTGCAGCATCTTTTCACCTGCGACTCAGAGGTGTTTGGTAACTGTGGTGTGGTGCAGAATCGTGATTGTCATGGCAGTTTGGTTTTATTTGTGCTCCTCCAGCAAAAGTGGTAGGCTTCAGGAAGCACATCTTGCTTTTCCTTTGTTTTTGAATGAAACTGTAATTTTACGCTGTAAAAGGGGACACCTTCCACCAGCACAGTTTGCTCCAAGTCTGGCTTTCCTTCTCCTCCTGAGTTTTCCTCGCTCTTTGATGGTGTTTTCCTGGCTGCAGGATTGTTTTTCCATGGCCAATGTCTCCTGGTATGGAGGGCCGAGCATCCGTGCCCAGCGCTGGCCCCTCAACAGCGCCGAGAGCCCCGCGCAGCCCCTGGTCAGCGGCGACCTCAGCGCAAACCCCGCTGGCTTTGGACCTATCCTGGAGAGATACTTCCTGGGATCCACAGGTAACCACCTCCTTCCCTGGCCAGGGTCCAACAGCTTCAATCCCTGTGCTTCTCTGCCCCTCTCCTCAACTCTAAAGCAGCTTAAGAGCAGCGTAGATATCTCTGGGAATTAAATATCCAGCAAATGTAGCAGCAACAGGGCATGTGGGATGGATCCCACACTGCCTCATCCCTGTGGGGAAGCTGATGCTGAAGCTGAGTGCCTGAGGATGGGGCGGCCCAAATCACTCCTGGGACATCCCATGCTCTTGGTGTGCCTGGTTTGTTTTTAAGCCCAGATCTGCGCCCATTGCTGCATCCCCAGCTCCACAAGAGCAGCTTCGTGGCTTCCTGATGCCACTCTGGAATGCTGGATTCAGGCAGGAGTTCAGTTGTTGGTGTCATTTTTTGGGGTATATTTGGATTATTCTGCAGGACATCAAACTTCAGCTATTACCCCAAATTAATCCAATTGACCTGCAGCTGCCCTGCACTGCTGAGGCTTCTGAATGTTGAGCAAAAAGGCCAGGAAATGGAGAAATCCAGCCCTTGAAAGGCATTTTGGACTCTGCAAGAGAATAGCAGGAGCAGGGTGGGGATGGTTGGCACAGCTGGATCTGTGGTGGGATCAACCCAGATCAACCTTGGCACCAGTCAGGCTCTGCTCATCCCTGCAGCTCCCAGGACTGGGAGCAGCCGGGTGCTTGCCGAAACACCGTTTTCCCACTCTTCCCCCAAAGGAGTGACGGTGACAGTGGCTCCCGACGTGTCCCTGCTCCTGTCTCTGGAGAGCCACCGGCAGTTCTGCCTGGAGACGCCGGCGGGACGAGCGGAACCCCTGCACTACCAGCTCTGTGTCAGCGCCGACGTGGCGGCCGCCCACCGGCACACGGCCGGGGCTCCGGCAGGAGCGGCTCGGACACTGCCGGACACGGCACTCCTGGGGTGAGCTCTCCTTCCTGACGGTGGGAACCCTTCCTGTCGGAATTGGAGGTATTGATGATCCCGAGATTGTAAAAAGTCTGTGTCTTTCTGCCCCGTTGCCAAAGAAGAAGCCATAATTCGTCTGTGCTGGTTTCAAGGTTGTTTATTCTGTTTATCTCTAACATGTTCTGCTGCCCTGCCACAGGTCTGTCCTGCAGGGCAGCGTGTGGGGCTCTGCCCTCAGTGGGATGGTACGAACATTATATACCAGAAACTACGTGTGCTACATTTACAATAATGTGCCAATATCTATCATCTATGTTGAACAGTGTGTCCCCAGCCTAAACCAACAGAAAAATGCCAACACTACAGTGAAACATGGAGGGCATGAAGAAGGAGAAGAAGGACAAGACACACCCAATTTCCTCCATCCTGTCCCCTTTGAACCCCTAACCTAGAAACCTAAAATTTTACTTTTGCACCCGTATTACACTTAATTATTACTTATATCAAACACTCAGAGCTTGTAATTCATCCTGTAAGATTGAAAACTCTTTTCCATGGACAGAGATCAGAGACAGTGTCTCTCGGGGCTCTGTCCAGGGGGGTTCCTGACCCCTGCCAGGGTCCCAGGCCCTCCAGGGCAGCCAGAGGGAAGCCCTGATTCCCACACTTCCGAATATCCTGCTCGCTCTCCCAAGCATCTCATGCAGGATTTCCCACCCTGCAGGTCTCCGATCTGGCGCTACCATGGCCCGGAGGGTTCTGCTGCCAAAATCAAGCGAGGCCTGAGGTCGTTGGTGAGGAGGCTGAAGCGGCATCGCCTTCAGGAGGGCGTTGTGGCCCTGGGGGAGCGCGGCACTGCCGTCCTCGCCGCCGCGGTACGGCCATCCTGCTACCCTCCGGGCACATGGGGAGCGTGGTGCTCCTCTCCCACAAACCCCTTATTCCTGCCCTTCCCACCCGCAGGACCTGGTGCCCTCAGAGCGCAGGAAGAGGCAGGCCCCAGCACTGGTGGAACCTCTGGAGCTCTCCATCACGCTGTCCCCGTACGCTGGCGTCACCTCCTCGCTCTTCCTGCGTTCCCTGCGTGGCGGCGAGGCCGCTGGATACTGGCTCAGCCGCCAGCCCCGACCCGGGGCCAGCTCGGTACGGGACCCCCTCAGCCCCCAAACCAAAATTAAAGCTGAATAAACCCCCTCAGGTTTATCATTTTATCAAGGGACACAGCCCGATCCCACTGTGCTGGGACACAGCAGTGGTGGGGGAAGCAGCGTCTCTCCTCATTCCTACAGAAGCAGCTTTAAAATTTCCACTTCCAGTGTTCAGAAGATTCCCCAGCTCCACTTTGTGTGGTCATTTTAATTATCCTTTTGCCACCAGCTCAGGGATTTTTGGGGGGTTGAGGGAAAGTTTACACCTTGATGCACTGCACCACGACAGGGCAGGGTGGGATGGGGGTAGCATGGCATCCCCTGGCCTTGCACCCTGGAATCAGTGGGACATTCTTTGGATCTGACAGGGATTTCCATCCTCCCCCTCTGCAGATCCCGCTGCTGACCACCTGGAAGGGGCAGCTCTGCGCCCGCCTGAACGTCACCAGCGAGGCAGCGCTGGGCTGGTACCTGGCTCGTGCCCGGCGCCTGCGGCAGGCGCTGGGGGCCACCTACGTGGCCTTCGAGGGAGTCGAGGGCAATTCCTTCCTGGAGCAGGATGTCCCTGCTCCCGCCAAGCTGGCGGGTGATGGATACACCGAGGTGCTGGCGGCGGCGCTGGCGACACTGGGCAACAACACAATCATCAGCGCCGGGAGCAGGTGGGTGGGCACCTGCAGGTGCTGGAGCTGAAGGGCACAAGAACTTGCTGGGGGATGGTGGAACTGGTGCTTGGAATGTACTCTTGGTATTCCCAGATGTTTCTTGGCACCCAGGGAAGTGAAGTGGTGAGGAAGTGGGATAGGGCAGCATGTTGGAGTCAACGATCCTTGTGGGATGTGAGGATGGCATGGCCCCGGCACAGGGTACCTAGAGAAGCTGTGGCTGCCCCATCTCTGGAAGTGTCCAAGGCCAGGGTGGATGGGGCTTGGAGCAACCTGGGATAGTGGAAGGTGTCCCTGCCCATGGCAGAGGGTGGGACTGGATGGGCTTTAATGTCTCTTTCCACCCAAACCATTCTGGGACTATAACCTGGCCCCAGTGACTCCAAAGCCAACTGGGCATCATGGAATTTCAGCTCCTGTGAGCTCTCTAAGCACCTTGAAGGATTTGTGCTATTTCTCCAGATCCAGTCACCTCCCACTGTTTGTCCAGATGAGCCCCCTGCGCTCCGACTGGAGCCACGCTGGGCTGAAGGGGCTCATCCCCTCCGTGCTGCACTACAGCCTCCTGGGCTACAACTTCCTTATCCCTGATGCAGTAGGTAAGGATTGGTTTTCCATTTTTTTTCCCTATTTCTGGCTTCTCTGCGCTGAATTTTGCAGCTTTTTTCCAGGCACGGGTGGTACACTTGCACCTTAGGTGTGCTATGGGAAGGCTTAGAGTGTTTTGCTCACCAGTTTTCTCTTGTACTGGCTTGAGTGGGATGAATGTTACCAGGGAAAAAAATTAGGAACTAAAAACAAAAGAATATGCTGTAAATATTGCCAGGCAACTCCAGCAGCAGCCGTGTCTCTGGGGATGCCCTTCCCAGAGTTCCACCACAGCCCACCCCTGCGGGGTTTGGCTTGGGCTAAGTCCCACCTGGCACAGGCAGGATCTGCATCCCCAGGCTCCTGGCTGGGGAATGGATGTTCCTAAAACCCCAGCAGCTCTGCTCCAAGTCTGCATTTCTGCTCCAAAGCAAAATGGCTGCAGAAGTCCTGAAATAAAAGCATTATAAAATGGCAAGAAACAGCTTTAATCAGGGCCAAGTGGATTCATTTCCCTTTTTCTTGGAGCTGATGGAGTCAGTGGTGGTTAAAACATGCCCTGAGTGTGCAGTGGCTGTGCAGAAGTGTCAAACATGGAGAGCTGAGCTAAACAACAGCCCTGAAATAGGGGTTGAGAGCAATATGTCAATTTGGCCTCTATTTTTAGCCTGTTTTCCTTAGAAAATGAGGCTCAAGCAATCCCAGCATGGGAGTTTGCTTCCCAAAGAGGTGCTGGAGCCCTTGGCTTGCGTGGATGGGAGTGCAGATCCTCCTGCACACAGAGAGCTGGGCAGTTCACTGCCAGGGGTTGTGTCCCAACAGCCTGGGAGCTGCAAGAGCTGGGAAAAACCTCTGGAGGAAACAGGAATTTGTGGATGGCTGGGCAAGCTCTCGGGGCTGGGGGGTTTGTGCCATTTCCAGGGAAGCCGTGCCAGGTTTTCAGAGCGATGGTGACACTTTAGGCACTGGGAGGAGCTCTGAGGTTTCTCCAGAACCTTTCCATGCCATGGGAGGTCCTCACTCCAGCCCCATGTTCCCACAGGAGGGAGCGTGGCTGGAGCTACCCAGGGGGACCCGGAGCTGTTTGTGAGGTGGCTGCAGATTGTGACATTCCTGCCCGTGATGGCCTTTGGGACCCCGCCCTGGCTCTGCTGTGATGCCTGGGTACGTATCCCACGCTCCAGAGGGGAGGACACTGGGATCCTGACATGGCCAATGCCCCCAAAAGCCATGGAAGGCCTGGCAGGGATCTCCTGCCAGCTGTTGTCCTCAGCTTTCCGCTGAAGTGGGAATAAATCCATTATCAATGGCCTTAGATTCAAATACCAATGGATTTAAATCAAATGGATTAGTGTCTGCTATCAATGGATTTAATTATATTTCAATTCAGTGGATTCATATGTGTTATCAGTGGAATTTAAATCAAATTGATTGAGGTCCTTTATTAATGGATATAAATCAATTTAAATACAATTAATTAATATCCATTATCAATAGATGTAAATTAATTTAAATCCATGGGTTTATATGCATATTCAATGCACTTAAATTCACTTAAATCCAATGACTGATATCCATTATCAATGGATTTAAATCTATTTAAATCCAATGGGTTTATATTCATTATCAATAGATGTAAATCCATTTATATCCAATGGATTAATGTTCAATATAACTGGACTGAAATACATTTAAATCCAATAGATTCATATCTGTTATCAATGTATTTAAATCCAATGGATCCACAACTATTTTCAGTGTATCTAAATAAAATTCAATGGATTTAAATTCATTAACAACCGATTTAAATCTATTCAAATCTAATGTGTTCATATCTGCTATCAATAGATTTAAATCCAGCTGATTTGTAACAATTACCAATGGATTTAAAGCCATTTAAGTCCAATTTATTTAAGTCCATTATCAATGGATTTAAATGTTTTACCAATGGATTTTTAGCCAAAACAATTAACAACCAAATGTATCCAATATATCCAATTAATCCAATTAATATCCATATCAATTAATATCCAAATCAATTAATATCCAATATCAACCCCATTTGCACCATAACTTGAGCAAGACATTCCAATTCAGTAATTTCCCTTCCTAAGGGAATACATGTTTTACTTTTGAATTTTTTTATTATTTATTGTTTGTTTGTTTGTTTTTCCCTGCCTGCTTTGCTGTTTCCTGGGTGTTGGGCTCCTCATGGATTTGTCCCCCACCTGCAGGTCCTGAATCTGACCCGCCAGTGCATCCAGAGGCACCGGGACTTTGTCGTGCCTCTGCTCCTAAAATACAGTGAGGAGTGGCAGAGTTTGGGATTCCCCATCTTCCGTCCTGCCTGGTGGCTCAGCCCCACGGATCCAGTTGCATTCACCATAGAGGATGAGTTTCTCATTGGAGATGAGGTGGGAATTCTGCATTATTCCTGTAAATTCAGCTTTGCACAAGTACAAACCAGGACTTGGATTTAAGCAGATTTAAATCCAAGCCAAAGCATCTGAGTTTCGTGGGTTTGGGGTTTTTTCTTTTTGGAAAAGCTTGGCTTTCCTCATGAAACTCTTATTTAGGGCCCCAAAACCCTCTATCAGCTTTGGAAGTGAAATGATTTAGCAGGAATAAAGAGTCTCAGAATGCTGGGAACTGCTTTTGCCATGAAACAAGGGGGAAAATGCTCCCTGAAGGTGGAATTACATTGGTTGTATCACTGGGAAGGAAGTTTTGCAAGAAGCACATTTCTGATGGGATTTTTTTTCTCCTGGTTTTTGAAAATATAAACTGGATGGAATCTTGGGGCAGCTGCGGGCAGGGATGATCCCAGTCCCAGCCAAAGGAATATCACTGCACTTCATTAATGTTTCTAAACTGACAGAAGGCAGGGATAGATGGGATTGGGAAGGAACTCCCAGTGTGGCTGGTGAGGCCCTGGCACTGGGTGCCCAGAGAAGCTGTGGCTGCCTCATCCCTGGACTGTCCAGGTCCAAATTGGATGGAGCTTGGAGCAACCTGGGCTAGTGGAAGATGTCCCTGCCCATGGCAGGGAGTGGGACAGGATGGTTTTTAAGGTATCTTCCCACCCAAACCATTCCAGGATTCCCTGATGACCATCTCATCCCCACACGCCCACCCTGGTTAATCCTCCCTCTGCTGAAGTTCTGTTTTCTTTCTTTTTCTTCTCCCTGCAGGTCCTGGTTGCTCCAATAACAGAAAAGGGACAAACGTGGAGGGACATCTACCTGCCAGGAGAGGGGCATCTCTGGCTGGACACCAACAGTGCCCGAGTGTTTGATGGTGGCACCACGCTCAGGAATTACTCTGCCAGCCTGGCCGAGGTGCCAGTGTTTGTAAAGACCTCCTGAATTCAGGCTGGGCAGCTCTGGGACAGAGACCTCCGAGGGCAGCGCTACCCTCAGACTTCCAGCCTCTTTGCACTTTTCCCAGATCATTTTTTTTTTTGTTGTTTTATTTTGTTTTTTACTTCAGCAGAAATTATCTGAATTTTCTTACTCGTTGTTATCCTAAAGCAGTGGCTCTGCCACCAACATCCATCCCCACCAAATGCTGCATTTTTTCCAGGGTTTTCCCTGTGAAATGTCTGTGTGTGTATGTTCAGGTGGGCATATCCAGCATTTCCAGGTCCCTGGCACCGTGCTCAGAGAGGCAGTGATATGATTTTCCAGGAGATAAACATCAGCTCATACCTGAGGGGAAGTTTTGTATTTAATGAAAAAATTAAGTCTAGGGAAAAATTAACAGGATAATTTTGGTGCTGTGTGTGGCCACCTCCTGTGCTGAGCAATGCTGCTCCCACCCGAGGCTGTGTGTGGCTTCTAGGTGGCAAGAGCTCACCTTCTGAGTATATTTGGGAAAATGAGTGAATTCCAGGTGTATTTAAAGCAGGTTTCTGTGGAAGAAAAATAAACTTGATCAAGCGGAGGAGTGGCTCTACCAGAGCATGATGTGGATATCGAGGATCCTTGCCCACCTCCTGTGTGCCCAGGCTCCTGCTTTTCACCATTTGTTGAATTTTATGGCTTTTTTTCCAATTATTTCTTGCAGTGCAAGAGGGATCCAGTGTGACCAGGCTCCTTCCATCCAGCAGAGAATGTATCCATAGGCAAAATCCACATCTCACATGCTGAATATGCATCTTGGGAGATGATCAGCTATGCTGATACCCCAAATTGGAGATCAATGGGACACTGCAGGTTAGTGGGGTGATTCCAGAGGCTGGCAATTGGGGACAGGGACTGGATGACAACTGGGAGGAAAGTTTAGGGCAAGTTTTGGCCCTGGAGCTGGGCTTGGGCATCTCCAGCACTGATTTGTATCAGCTACATATTGTGTTTTGGGGGAAAATATTCCTGTACCAAGCTGTAGCTCTGCTGAAAAAATGCTGTGGGGTACTAACTTCTCCCAGCAAAGCACGCCTGGATAAAACTGAAGGGAAAGAAAAGGCAAAATCCAAGTCAGGTTCAGCCATGGAATGGCTGTGAGGGCATGGAGAGGGGGAAGATCCCCTCAGCTCCTTCCTGGATCCACAGAGGCACTTAACAATGCTTGGAGAGAGCTCACAGAGGGAAAGTATGAAACTCACGAGGGCAACCCAAGGGCGTGGGATGCTCCAAAATATCTGTGGAGGCTCCTGAGGTTGCAAAAATACAAAAAGAAGAAAAGGGGTGCTGGCTCAAGTGGCATTTGTTTATTTGCAGCGAGTCAAGCCCTGGAACAGGATGTCCAGGTAGGATCTGGTGGCTCCATCCTGGGTGATCACCAAAACCTGCCTGGACACCCTGGGCTGAGTCTGAGCATGGCAATTCCCATTTTGGGAGGGTGGGCTATGTGTCCCTGCACCAGCGCCGGCTCCTCCTTGAGGAGCCCAGGATGTTCTGCTGGGACCTTGGAGCTCATTCTTGGTCATCATTCCAGCTCCTCCACTGCCTCTGCCTTGTGGTGTGGTTGTGGGGCATTCCCTGGGAGGCTCTCTGGGAGTTCTGCCTTCTCCTGTGGGATCTGCCCCGGGTTCGGCTCCTTGCCGCGTGCTGTTGCCTGGAGGAATCCCGGTCTTCCCACTGGTGTCTCTCGCTCCTCCTCTCGGGGGTGTCACGCTGGGGCCTTGGAGTGTGTCTGTCATCAGCATTCCAGCTCCTCCAGCGCCTCTGCCTTGTGGAGTGCTCGTGGTGCACCGTTCCCTGAGAGCCTGCCTGGGAGTTCTGGCCTCTCCTGTGGGATCTGCCCCGGCTTTGCCTCCTTCTTGTGCGCTGTTGTCCGGAGGCATCAGCATCTTCCCACTGGTGTGTCTCACTCCTCTCTGAGGGGACATCGTGCTGGGGCCCTGGAGCATGTCTGTCATCAGCACTCCAGCTCCTCCAGTGCCGCTGCCTTGCGGAGCGCTCGGGGGAGCCTGTCTGGGTGTCCTGCTCTCTCCTGGAGGGCCTGTCCCAGCCACGGAAACGCTCCCTGCCCCTGCTCCACCTGCGGCGGCCCCGCGACCGTTCCTGCTGGCTCCATGACCTGCGGGGCCTGCGCCGGGATCGATGTCCCTGCGAGGAGGCTGGGACGTCCCACTCAAACCTCAGAGTCTGTCCCTCTTCGGGTGCGTCCTCTCTCCTCTGCAGCTGCCACTGCCTCCTCCTCGGGGAGTCGCTGCCTGGGGCGTGCCAAGACTCCCGGCGGCCATCGCGGGGCCACCTCATGGATCTCCTTGGCCTCCTCTCCCAGGGTCCGGAGCAGCTGCGCGGCTGCTGTGCCGAGCGGCCACGCCATCTCCGCTTCCTCTCGTAGACCCGCTCCTGCACTTCGTGGTACAGGGCCACGTGCTGGGGGTAGGGGTGGCGCGTGGGCCGCTGGCACCGCGGGCACACGGCCTGGCCCAGGCTCCAGTCCCACAGGCACAGCCGGCAGAAGCAGTGCCGGCACGAGCTGGAGCACGCGGTGCTGATGTCCCGGCACTCCGGGCACGCGGTGTCATCCCGGCTGTTGTCCTGCGGCGCGGGCGGGCCAGCCTGGCTGGTGCTGGCAGCAGAGGTGCCCGGCTCTGGAGTGTCCTCCCTTGATGACATCTCGCCCTGCAAGAGGCACAAAGTCTGTTTTAGGTACCCCTCCCCAAAACCCCACAGCTCCTTGTCCCTCTGGGGCTGTCCCGCACCTCAGCAGCAGGGCCGCGGTGGGGCTGGAATAGCGGCGTTTGAGCCCCACGGATCTCACTATGGGATTGCAGCTCTGGGCCCCCTGTCCTGCTTTTGTGACGTGGCCCGTGTCCTGTGGCTGCTGTGAAGTCACCGATGGTGCTGTCACAAAGGGCCACTGTTGAGGTGTGGGACAGCCCCAAAGGGCTGAGGTGCTGTGCTTGGGTTTAGGAACAGGTGTCGGCAGATAAATTTTGCATCTTGCAGGGCAAGAAGGTGTCACAGGAGGAGAACCCAGAGGGGATCCTCAGGGGGAGGCCACAGGAGGTGCCCAAGGTGGCATCATGATGGCCACAGGTGGCTTCAGCACGGCCAGGGCTACAACTCATCACGAACTACAGGGTTGGGACAAGGGGAATGGCTCCAAAATGGAAAAGGGGCGATTTAGGTGCAATACTGGGAAGAAATCCTTCCCTGTGTAGGGGTGAGGCCCTGGCAAAGGTTGCCCGGAGCAGCTGTGGCTGTCCCATCCCTGGAAGCATTCCAGGTCAGGTTGGACAGGGTTTGGAGCAGCCTGGGATAGTGGAAGGTGTCCTTGCCCGTGGCAGGGGGTGGAACTGGATGATCTTTAAGGTCCCTTTGAGCACAAACCACTCCAGGATTCTCATCAAGAAGAAGGAGGTGGCAGCGGAGCAGGGCTTGGAACAACACTGACCATGACTTGAGTCTGCACCCTGAGAGCTGAGGCTCTGCTTGGGTGAGGCTCCATGGGGACACACCAGGAATCTTTCCGTTTATTGCCCTATGGGATAAGAACAGTTCTCTGAAGCAGTTCATTTTGCTGAAATCATGGCCATCCTGTTTTCTTCATGATCTCAGGTTTGTTGCTATTGTTGATAAAGTAAATTAAGGAACCTTCACCCATGAGGACACAAATCCTACTAGAATAAAGGAGTAAGGGCTGAAAAATTCTGTCTCCTGCGTATGCGAATAATTGGATCGGCTTTCTTCTACAGTGCTCCCTTCTTAGAGCAGTAGGGGGCAGGGAGGTGTCTTAGATGAATCAAAAAATAATTTCCTAAGGAGCTGTGCCTTGGGCTGAGAAGGATGTTTTCTGGGGACAACAAAAACAAGTAAGTTTTTGGGAACAGGCTGTAGCTGGGTCGCACCTCCTCCCACTGCCACTGGCTGCCTGAGGAGGTGTTGGAGTGCCATCCCTAGAGGGATTTAGTGCGTGGATGCGGATCAGTCTGTGGCATTCGAGGACACGGTCAGCGGCGACCTTGGAGGACGGCGGGACGGACGCGCTGTTTTCCCTAGGGACTCAGTGCCCGCGCACGGCCCCACGGGACTTGTAGTTTTCTTCTAGTTTCTCCCCGCCGCAGCCGCCGCTAAAGAACTACAACACCCATCATGCCCAGTGAAGCGCCGCGCCCCCTTACTGTTCCCGTCCTTTGGGGCCGCGCGGTGCATCACGGTGCTTGTAGTCCAACCTTCCCAGGCGGCCTGTGGCGCGGCGGCGTGCTGGGACTACACTTCCCGGCGACCGCGGCGCCAGGAGCGGAAGCGGGAAGCGCGAAGATGGCGGTGGATAAGGAGCTGCTGGAGCGGGACCTCTACGGGCTGCTGGGGATCGGCGAGAAGGCGTCCGAGAAGGAGGTGAGGGGCGCAGCGGGGCTCGGGACGGGCTCCTTCTCTCCCTTCCATCCCTTTCCTGGTGTTCTCGGGAGCGGCGGCTCCCGGCGCGGCGCTGCTCTCCAGCGCTGAGCTGAGGGGCTGCCCAAGCGCGGCTGCGGGACCGGGTCTGTCAATCGGAAAAATCCCATTTTTACTGATGTCGGTGTTGTCATAGCCCGGTTTTACTGGAATTGGCCTCGTTCCCCCAGTTCACCCCTCAATCCTTAGGGGCGGAACCCGCCTTTGGAGGAGGAAAGAATTGCGGAGTTGGTCTGGGACATGTTGTTCTCGCTATGTGCTTCCAGAAGGGAAATTCCCCTGTTGACCCAAAAATCCTGTTGTTAGACGTTTGTCCGAGCGCCCAAAAGTCACGCAGTTAATTTTGTGGGCTTGGAATTACACGTTGGCGGGTTTTAATTGAGTTTAGTTGGTTAGTCAGTGCTAAACACAGGAAGGAAGCTCCGAGAGAGCTGCAGAGGGGCTCGGGAAAAGGGCCTGGGAAAGCAGGATAGAAAGGGAACGGCTGGCACTGCCAGGGAGCCGGGTTACCTGGCACAGTGGGGAGGAATTCTCGGCTGAAATAGGAAGTTGGAGGATGGAGCCCGCCGAGGAGACGCCTCTCCCTCAGCTGGGCTCTTATGCAGGAGGTGGGCTCATCTGCAGGGCTTTTCCTGCACATTCCCAATCCCGGGAGCTTTGTCCACCAGGTGGGGCCGGGACACAACTTTTCCCATTTGTTATAGCAGGGAATTGGTTGGGAGTGAGAGTGGCTTCCTTTTTTCCTTCTTCCCCCGCTTTTTTTTTTTTTTTCCCCACTGTTTTCCTCCTATTTCCCTATTTTTCATTCTCTTTACTTGTTTTATTTTTCTTTTCCACTTCTCTTCCTTTACCCATTTGATTCCCCTTCCCTCTTTTTGGCTCCCTCTTTTTGATTCTCTTTCTGAGTTTTTACCTTTTATCATCTCCCCCTTTTTTCCCCCCTTCTGCCTTTCCTTTCCTTTCCTTTCCTTTCCTTTCCTTTCCTTTCCTTTCCTTTCCTTTCCTTTCCTTTCCTTTCCTTTCCTTTCCTTTCCTTTCCTTTCCTTTCCTTTCCTTTCCTTTCCTTTCCTTTCCTTTCCTTTCCTTTCCTTTCCTTTCCTTTCCTTTCCTTTCCTTTCCTTTCCTTTCCTTTCCTTTCCTTTCCTCCATATTTTTCCCTCTCTCGTTTTTTTTCTTTTCCTCTTTTTTCCTTCTCTACTTTTTTTTTTCCTTCTCCCCCCTTTTTTCCCCTCTCTCATTTTTTTTTTACCTGAGGTTTAACTGCTGCAATGCAAGACACTTGGAAGTAAAAACAACTTTTAAAAGCTCCAACTCCTTCCAGACACAGCCATGTCCTGGGCCCAGCAGGTTACCCTTGAACACAGGGATTATTTGGGGTTTCCAAGTTGCCTTTTTTGGCAGAGACAAACCAGTTTCCCCCCAGTAACTCCCAGTGTGGCCCCTGCAGGTGAAGACAGCGTTCCGGCAGAAGGCCCTGACCTGCCACCCGGACAAGAACCCGGACAACCCCCGGGCAGGTGAGCGGGGGCAGCTCTTCCTGCTGGAGTTTTCACTTCTCCAGGCTCCTGGAAGTGGCTCTGCTTCCCTAAGTGCTGAGGGAATGGCTGGGTGTGTGTCCCTGGGAATGCAGACACAGCTGAGAGTTGCTCCTGTTGGTGTTTGCTTTTTAAGGCTGAGCGATCCCTGCTGGGTTTAGAAACACCAGCATTAAGTCAGTGCTGGAATTACAGCTGCACCTCTCCAAACCTTCCCAACCTTTGCCTGTTTGGGCACTGCTTTGATCTGTATTTCTCACAGTCCAAATTTCACCAGCACTCCATAAATCCTGTTATCTGTGGGTAGGGCAAGAGGGCATTTCAGCTGCCTGCAGGGAGTGATTGCTGTGGATGAATGTTGTAGAATTAGCAGTTACTTTGTATTTTGTCTGTCAAGACCGATAGTTCATCTTTATAAAAAATAAATACAGTTTGTCAATGCTTGTAATGGGACAAGAGGAAAGACTTTTAAAGGATAGATGGCAGTAATGCAACAATACAACATAAGCAACATATCTTGTTGAAGGAAAAGGACAGAGAGGGAGAAGGAAATTGTGAAGCTCCAGCTAAATGTAGCATGAAAGAGATATTACCACCCAAAATAAAAGGAATCAGTAAGAAAAATTAAGTCTGTGTGTTCCAAGATTTCTCTTAAAGTGAAACAATCCTAGTTTTTTTACTCTTGAGTTTGTGTAACACCTTTGAGCTTAGGTGGCCCTGGTTAGAGGGTGGCTTAGAAATCTCTTGGAGCGGTGATATTTGTTCCTTGGAAAGACCTTCCTGCAGGAATTTTATTTCCTGGTTCTTCCCCAGGACCCTCACCTGGTTTCCCTCATCTTGCCCTTATTTCTTCTCGTTCCCAGCGGAAATTTTCCATCAGCTGTCCCAGGCCTTGGCCGTGCTCACAGATGCAGCAGCCAGGGTAAGGATGCTCCCTTGGGAAGGGTGGGATTTTGGGGTGGTGCTGGGAGCTGTAATCCTGCCTGTCCTGCTCTCTGCTCCAAGAGATGCTCCATGAATACAAATCTCAGCTTTATTCCCCCTGGTTCTCCCTGAGATCAAATCTCAGGTGCCAGGTAAAAGCTTGGAGAAATGTTGTGTTCGGGATTTGCTGCTGGGAGCAGCTCTGCCCTGAGATTCTGCCTTTAATAACGTGCTGGACTGGGGCATATCCCATTTAACAACACCATCCCTGATTCAGGAACAGCAAATTCCCATGGCAACATCTGCCATTCCTGTTGAGTCAGGTGCTGACAAATGAGTAATACCTGGATGCAATTCCTGAGGCTCCAAGCTTTGCTGTCTGTGGGACACAGGAGAGCTTGGATCCTTCTGGGGCTGTGAGGAAGTGGCAGAGAACCCACTGCCCAAGGCCTAAAAGAACCTGGAAATGTCCCTGGAAAGAATAAAACCAAAAAATGAGCAAGGAACTCTCTCCAAATTAGCTCAGGTGAGGGAAAAGCATTGATTCCCGTTAATAAAAGCTAAAAAGATGAACTCCTCTTTTTAGGTATTGGCAAAGCTGGTAATCCAAGAAGCAGCAGATGCTTCAGCCCTGCTGACAGGGTTTCAGTCCCTGATGATGTTGTATTCCCTGTTTTCCAGTTTCTCTCCTGGTTTCTGTAGTTTCCCACTGTTGTGCTGGTTCCTTGGCAGGCAGCCTATGACAGGGTGAGGAGGGCAAAGAAGGAGGCTGCAGCAAGGACACAGAAACTTGATGAGAAGAGGAAGAAAGTAAAGCTTGGTAAGAAAATCAAACCCTCACATTCTCCTGAGGTCTCCCCTAACTGTTTTCATTTCTCCTTCCACAGGGGTCAGTCCATGGGGGATGACTCTGGTTTCTTCATCCCTAGTACAGTCCAGTAGGCCTGGAATCTCCTCCCTCAGCTATAGCTGGGGTGGTCCTGCTCTGGGAAGGAGGGAATTAGGCCCTGCTGTAGGAATTAGGGGGTTGAGGACTGTTAAGGCCCCTTT